TTTGCTTTCTAGTTATTTACATTTTTATCCAAGTGTCCTTCTACACTTTTACCCCATCATTACTGTGCTGAGCTGAGCACTTCATAATTACTGACTTGCCTTGCTGCTTATTCCTGAAAATGTCAGGTTCCTCAGCCTGGATAATATGGGCAAGTATGTATTTGTTGGGAGTAGTGGTGGTGGTGGTGGTGGTGGTGGACACTGCAGAGAGGAAAGCTAAAAACCCTGAAATAAGAATGAGGTTCTCTGACATCCATAATCTGAGAAAGTTCTGTGGCTCTATAACTAACCTAAAAATTGCAAAATCTCTCGTGGGCCTGAGGATCTGATTTGGTTCTGAAATCTTGAGCTACTTTGGCCTCATCCTATGATGGTTCCATAACAAGCCTCTTACTCACATGACAGCCTTTCAGGTGTTCGTGGGGTCAGAGTTGCACTATGGTAGTTTAGAGCCTACAGTCATCTTTAGGCCAATCCCTCTTGCCAGAATATTCTTCCATGGTATGTGGTACTTTTTCAGGACCACATAAAAATGGTGAAATTTTGATCAGTTGTATACAATGAACTCTAGTTAGAAGTTGGTAAGGGATACTTGTAAGTCTGTCCTAAGGAAAATTTTTTATTCAGCCTTTTTTATATGCCAGCATCCTCTAGAAGTCATTTTATTCTTAAGATTTGGGTATCAATAGCAGTTTTCTAGTTTACAGAGACAAAAAAGTCAAGATTCAGGTATATGGCAGCTTTGTAAAGATCTCTTGAAAAGTTAAACAGAACTTAATGGTGATGATGAACGGTACAGGTACAATGAAATGGAAGAGCTGGGAAAGGTCATATGTAAATTTATGCGCTGAGATCTGTTCCCTAGTTCTTTCAGTTACTGAGATGAGTCCTGCCATGGACATCCCATAGTTTTAGAGAAGTACTGATGAGCACCACTGGGCAGCCCAGGTTCAACCAGAACTGCAAATAGCAGTTAAGACAGCGATAGCTGATAAGGAAAGGGTAGGCCTCCAGAATGAGATAAATTCAGCAAAGGACAAGAATAGCTGAAAGGCACGATGCTTTGGGAAATTCATTTGACCCACCCCTATAGAAAGAAAACCAGTGATGACAAAATAAGTCATTTTTTGAGCAACAGTTAGATATGCTTTTAAAATTAATACTAATTGAAGTTTTCTAACTAAAAGTTCCAAGGTAGTAATTCTCAAACTTGAACATTCATCAGAATCACATGGAAGACTTGTTAAAACACAAATTCCTAGGCCCCACTCCCAGAATTTCTGATTCAGTAAGTCTAGGATGGGGCCTGAATACCTGAATTTCTAAGTTCCCTGGTGATGCCAATGCTGCAGTCTGGGGACCACACTTTGAGAGCCCACTGTTCTAGGGTACACTACATGGAATTGCTGACCTGTGAATTTTAGGATACTAGGAATGCAACTTAACTGGCTGAAAAACAAAAGTCCCCATCACTCCATTTTTCCTCCCCCAAATAAATAAAACAAATAAATTTAAAAATTAAAAACCTGAGTAGCAATTAATACTATACTGAAACTTTTCTATAGAGATGATTTTTAAAATGAAATTCATCTAGGAGCAACAAGGAACTCCTAACATGTTTCATTAGAGACCAATCCTTGACAATAGTATACATTTCCTTTCAAATTCTTTAACAGAAGCCTAGGCATTAGCATCTTTATCCATACAGTTATCATGATGGAATTCCCCAAAGTCCCACTTTAAACACAAAAACATACACAACTGCTAAGAGATTTCGGTGAGGTAAAGGTTGAGTAATTCTGCAAATGGTTCCCTTTCCTCCAATCTTTTGGATCCCTGGAGGCCTTTCCCAGGGACTGTGCTATGAGCGTTGGACCTCACTTGACTTCCAATGGCCACATCAGATAAAAGGCCTTCTACAGAAACTACACACGTCAGCTGGGTAAGGAGATCAACAGAGCAGTCTGCGACGAACTCCAGCGGGTAATCCATGTATCTGTGCTAAAAATGAGAGGTGTTTTAGCAATCAGAGAAGAAAATATTTTTATAAAGAAACTTTATTGCATAATTTCTGTATACAATAAACATAGGAAAAGGGTTTTCTTAATGAAAATTTCATGTCATTTTTCAAAAGTTTTGAATTGTTCGGAGAAAAATTATTACAAAGGTATCTAAGGCAAAAATAATATTTGACTTCTAAAACAAATGACAATCCCTTTCATTATTTTTCATATTTAAAGCAAGGTATTTTATAGATAATTAATATGGAGAGGCTTTCAAGTTGTTATGTCATTTGCATTCAGAATTTAAATGTATCTAAGAAGTGAAAAGTTTAAACACACAGAACTATTCTCTAAGACAATATATACAGCAGCTTTCCTTCAGCATGACTGTATGTACGTACATTTTACACAATCCTGCATCTTCTAATGGTACAGTAAGGAATCTATCTTGCCTTATGTTAAATGGTACAACTCCCACAGATCACATACACCTCACCATATTGACTCAGTTCATTGCACTCTATATCCTGCAAAAATAAATCTAGTGCTCGACAGCTGACATTATTGCTCGCTGACGTTTTAGTAATATATTTCTTTAACATAAGACAGAAATATAGTGAAATTTGATACCACTTAAACCCAAAAGCAATCTGGAATTAAACCACATGCATATAGCCCACTTTTTTCCCTGATGGATGTTGCATTTTTCTTAAAGCCAATGCTAGAAAGTGTGGTAGAAGAAAAACTAGCTTTCCTGGAAACAAAGACTAAGGATTAGAAAAGCAGTTTTTTGAGGGGAATGTTAAGCCTCACATTAAAAATGAAGGAACAATGACAATCCAGAATCTGTGGGGAGAGGGAAGAAGCCCCTCATTTATCTTCCTTGTCTACCCTAACACTACAGCTCTTGTCCAGCAGACCCTGGGGAAGCCACTATACCGAGCTAGAGCAGTGTGAGAAGTTTTGCATGTAGCCCTGAAGGATGAGCTGTAGGATGTGACAGGAATACCCTGGGAGACCCACTTCTTTAGCTGCCACCATATGAGGATCCTTGAGTTTCTGGGAAATGTTGGGGCTCCCTCCATACCCCTAGGCAAGTTGGGAAAGGTTTCTAGGATGGTATGGATGCTGAGGCCTCAATGGACTCTGTCTGGTCTTAGATTTTACATCTGATTTCTAGAGAGAAGTGAACCCTGCAAATTCCCTAGTGGCTCCAGGCCCTGAAGTGAAACATCCTGGGAGCTAAGGGAGACTTATCTGGAATTGCAAAGTTGTAGCAAAAGTAACAATGAAGAGCCACTAGGATGCCAGGGCCTCACCAGAGGGTGCTTGTAGAGACGGGGAAGAATGCGGACATGATCACATTGCCATTTCGATTTGTCACAATTTTTCATTTTACTTCCTCATTTTTTCTTTAAAATTGGCAAGTAATTCTCTCACTTTTGTCTTGGTACTCACAAAGAAAGATGTCGGCTTTTCATAAGCCTTCAAAGGTTTACAAAAAATAATATTTTTTAAAAAACTACCTTTTAGAATTCAAGGCTACAGACACAACATGTATCATTCACAAACTGGACCTACACACCTGGCTATAGCAAATATCACCATTCCTCACATCGTAAGATCCTTATTGTACACAACGCCATCCATTCTGCCAGACAAAATGTTATAAAGCAACAGAGCAGACCGTCTCAGAGTAAAACGGCCATACTGCAACAAAGAAAAATTTCTGGCTTTTGGCCCAACTGTTTCCATACCAATCTGCTAAGGCAACCTCCTCTCTGCTTCTTTCCATTTCAAATGCCTGTGCTTCAGCCTTTGAGGCAATTAGAACCAGATCAGTTTAATTCTACAGTACTGATCTTAATTGTATAGCAACATCATACTTTTGCCCTGAGAGTGTCAATATATTCTACAAATATTGTGAGTCCCATTTTATACTGGGAGAAATAGGCACAGAGAAGGTAAATGGCTTGTCGCTTGTCACAGAGCAAATTAGTGTCAAGACTGAGACTTGAGCTCCTACTTCTATTTTAATTCCCAACATCTTTCCAGGGGGCACCTGAAACTTTGTGCCTAAGGTGTACAAGCCCTTTGGGCTCTGTTTGTTACCTGTAGTATCTTGCCAAATTTTCTGCCTAACACTGGATATTTTAGTACCTAGGACCTCTTCCTTGGTCTTTTCTGCTTTCTCTTTTTTCTGCTTCCTTGACAAAGCATCTTGTCCCTAATATTTTATTTTACAGAGTGGAATTTACCAAAATGCCCTTCCAGCTGCAGTTGGCATTAGGTGCAGAGGGAAGGACTTATAAAAAGGCAAGGGCAGGTGTTAGTCTTTGTGAACTCTGGACAATACGGGGCTCAACATTTTACAGTTGTTTTACATTCCAATGTTTTCAATGGAAAATAAAACAAAAGCCTAACTGTGAGGTAATGTTTACTTCTCTGCCACAACATTCAGTGCACCCCTCAGAGCTGGCAACAATTTAATGTAAGGAAAGACTTTAGACCTTCATACCCTTTTAGTGAGAATAAGCGACCTTAGCTCAAACTTTCCACAAAGCTGAGAAGTCTCGTAAGACATCACTCCGTCCTTATCTTAGATAGACCTATACAAATGCCTTACGGCCATGTGTCTCGCAGATCTCAAAGCACTTCCAAGCTCTGGTCTCTAGTTGTGTAGGAGATGTCTATACTCACATTTGAAGACCAAGTACCCTCTGCCTCTTAAAGGAAAAAAAACGACGACAAAAAAAACCCACTAAAACTCAAAATCAGCTATGTGGCTTGAATAATGCCAAATGGTACTTAAATGGCTTGTGAAGAAGTTTCACAAAGCTGTCTCCATTCACTAAAGCTATAAACAGGTCAGGATCTACTGGCAGTCAATAGTAAAATATGTTGGTGGCCAGGCCTCTATTTAAGCAAAAGAAGAAAAAATACGAGTAGCACAAAACTGCCTTTATATTTTTTGAAAAAATATATCTATTAAGATAGACAACTTTTATTTTTTATTTTTTAATCAGCTGTGCATTAAGAACACTTTGTTTCTGTTACTCTCCGTCCTACAGCTCCGTTTTGTCCACCTGGGCTGGGCTGCTGACTCCACTGCCTCCTTCCGCACCGCTGCTCTCTGCAGGCGTGAAAGACAAGGAAGCCGAGTTGATGCAGTATCTTTTGCCCGTTGGACGAGGTCCGTCATCAAAAATGTGCCCAAGGTGAGCACCACACTGAAAGAGAAGAGCAAAATATAAGGGCCAAGCGTGTACAAAGCAGGCTTTGAGAGGAACTCAGGTTAAGCAGTTTAAATGGATAACTGGCCGGTCTATAGAGAAATGATGGGAACCCTTGTGGAAGATTTCTGATTCGCCTGTCAATAGCTGCAAGGATGGTTTCTGGCAGGCTCTACGCCACATGCTGAGAATCAGAAACACTAGAACTGTGCATATCAGAAATCATATACGAGCCATTGTATTTTCTGATCTGTGAAGTCTCTTAGCCAGTGGAAAAATGACTGCAGTAATTTTATGAATTGAGTTGACCCTTGATCTCCCCTTGTAAGCAACGCGGCAGAATAATTTCTGTTCCCCCTGGCATTACTTCTGGCTTTGGAAAGGTGGGTTTCAGATATGCAGAAGTCCACTGTAAAAGATACTGTTTAACTGGTCATGATGGAGGTGATGTTTGCTTTCATGGGCGGTAAAGCTTAACATCAGACAAGCATTGGATGTTCTTGGAACCCAGCAAAGCAAAGGGAAGGCTCAACCGAGTTATGTCACGGTCACCAGGGCTGTAAGCGTAGCAAATGGAAAGCTCTCTAGCCCACACAATTGTTTCTTCTGGCTTCCAATAGATGGAGTGCCACGCTGGCTTCTTTACCCCAATGGACTGTAACATGTGGAGAGGGAATAAACTGTTTACCTAAAATCCAAGATATTGACTATCCATAAAGCTTAGGGAGGACGAAAGGCCCAGAGTTCAGACGAAGCAGGAGGAGGGATGGTTACGCTGGTGTTTAAGAGAAATCCAGCCCACAGAAATTTTCTCCAATCAGGCTGGTTCACCGAATAAAGCCCTGTGCTAACTGCTCCAATGCCACCTATGGCTCTAGGAGATGACAGTGAATGTCACACTGAGCACTCTCCCACCCTTTCAGCAGGGGCAGGGGTGACAGAAATGGAGACCTTGGTGGACCACATTCAAACAGGACGTGAAAACACATCATTCATAATAAACAAAGAAACCAAAGTCCAGGGGTAAATGCTTCCGTTCATTTGTTTAATGAGTATCTATGTAATGCCTGCTGTGTATCAGGCAATGTCCTAGACTTTGGGGATTCAGACAACCATCTCTGGCCTCATAGAGTTTACAGTCTAGTGGGAGAGACAGGAAATATACAAGAAAACAAGTGAACTGTAAAGTATGCTAGGTAGGAGTAAATGCCGGGATAAAAAAGAGAAGAAAGTGATATGAAGTATCAGGGTTGGGTGTTAACAGTTTAGATAGGGTGGCCATGGGGGGCCTCACTGGGGTGACTTTGGAATAAGGACCTGAAGGAAGTGAGGGAGTGAATATCTGGAAGACAGCATTCCAGGCAGAAGGAAGAGTCAAGATTTAGGAAAGAACATGAGACATACAGATGATTTATTAATTCTTCTCAGCGATTTGATACATAAAACATAAATTGCTGGGAAAGAAAGTAGGGATCGACAATGGACAATGGGGTTGAGATACCAAATGGAGAGGACGAGAGAAAAGAGAGGAAGGGTACTCATTACAAAGAACTAGGATCTCAGTTTCCCCACTGGAAGTGAGAAACAATTCTCAAGGGTTCCCTAGTTATTAAGAAATAGCACAAATAGCAACTTTGGCTATATGGCATTTCCATATGAAAGTGCATTCTTAATTTACTGCCAACATACTCTGTCTCCTTATTAAAGAACTAAAAATGAACCCTGAACTGATCTATTGCCTGGAAAATATGAAACAGGCCTAAAAAACAAATTTTGCATTATTTTACCACATTCTATTTAGGTTTAGGTAATATCAAGGCTGACAGCTCAGGTTGCTTTTCCTTTCTACAAACAATTGAGGCCAAATTTTCAGGCATCAGCAGCTAAGATGCACCGGTAAAAATACATATGCTTACTCAACGGACACAGGTAAACACCCATTGCAGCCTGTGAAAACAGTCAGTGTGCAGGCTGACAGGAACTAGTGCTCTCGGTGACCAGCGTGTGTGCAATTATTGATCTCACATGCAGCTCTGGCACTTTAATCACTTGGCATCCGAGAGGTGAAGCTTTCACATAAAAGTCTCAGATAGGTTTTTTTTTAAAAAAAAAAAAAAATATGAGAGAATATAGCTATCTGGGCAAAACAAATCATACTGCCTTTATTAATCATTCCTTGAGCATACTTAGAAAACAGTTCTATTTACAGTCTCCAAAAATAAAGCACAATAAAGATACACTTGAAGGCATTTAAGAATAAATTATATGGTCTTCATTTCCCAAATTATTTTTTTCATAAATCCAAATTACGGCAATTTAATCTGTTGACCTGAATTGGTTTTCAGTCTACAGTTTCATTTGCTAATTTGTAATTAGCCTTTGGATTCAACATAAAGGAAAACGATTATATATGTGTCCCCTAATCCAGGCAAAAGGAACAGGTGAAGAGAAATTATAGTTAGGCAAAGGTAGCAAAAATCATTGGCAAAAGAATATATGGGCTGGCAAGAGGCGAGGAAAATCCTCAGAAAAGGTGTGAGCCTCTAAAAAGACAGTGATGGCTTGATTATGCCTGCCACAAGGTGGTTTGGAAGATTAACACCAGACTTAGATTACTGAGCACAGATCAAAATTTCAAAACATAGAAGGTGTTAATTTATATCTGTGCCCCCACATACATGCCCACCCTGTTGCCTAAGAAGCTGCAAGGCCATCTGTCTGAGGGAGGACTTCACCACACATGACATTTGTGCATCCTCCCAGGTACAGCCAGTCTCCCGTAAAAGACCATTACCCAGTTTCTTTTAAAAGTGCATAAGCACTGAAGGCTCCTCCCTGGAGGGCCACACACATGGAGCCCATTCCTTCCAGCTTCTACCTGGTCAAGCTGGGACGATGAGTGGAAGTTGTCAGTGATGCACTGTTTCTGCAGCCGCCTGCGAGCTCTGCCTCGCCGGCCCCAGCCAACTGGCAGTGTGTTGGGATCTCTCAGCACACCTGGTTGTAAACTGAAACAAACTGGTTGCCCAGTGCAGAAATCTCTGAAACATGCTGTTAATGATTTATTTCAGGGTAGAATCTTAGGTGCACATTTTAAAAGTTGTTTTCAAATGGTTATTTTTTTCTTTTATAGGTAAAATACAAACTATAGCTGGATAGTCTAGCCCTCACCCTGAAGAAGCATGATATAATTGTCCAAAAGAAAATTTAAAAATTCCCTTTATCACCTAAGGCTCCCACTCAGAAATTTGGCAACTCAAGGAACTGTGGCGAATCAGGGAAAAAGACCTCCCCCCGCCCCGAGGGGGGTGAAAAAAAAAAAAAAAAAACCAGATTGAGCAAGCAATTTACTTTGCCAGTAGTATTCTGTTGTTCCCACTGTTGTTGAAGACACTTGTGTGTAAGTAGGGGCTCTTTTCCTCTGTGCTTGTGATATTAATCTTTTGCCAAGGAAATGATTGTAAAGTCACCAGTTTAGTATTATGATTTTACTGAAAGATCAAGAAAAAGAGAGATGGGCTGTGAGTCTTGACACCCGATTGTAACACATGGGTATCTTTAATCACCAGCAATATATGAGTTATCATCTGCAAAAGATTGATAAGGTTTGGGGTTTTAGCAAAAACTGCTTAACTTTTGAAAAATACTTTGATTGGTGGATACTTACCTTTCTGTTGATTTAGCTGACTTAGAACAAACTAATAATGTTCTAAAACAAACTTAAGGGACTCTACCATAGATTGAAGTAGTCACAGCAACAGTTATAAACAGACTCCAGCTTGGGTAAACTCAAGGATCTGATGGTTTCCTTAAAGATTATTACAAAAAGTTAAGTGATTTATTGGTCTCCCAGACGTAGGATTTTGATCTGAAGAAGGAAGAATTCCCCAAGTATTCCCAGAAGGGACTTGCTTTACTGAACTATGGCTAAAATCAAGCAAGTTTTACCCCTTTGCACTGAATTTAACCCCTGACAAAGCATTGCTTAACAAGCTGGGGTTGGAGGATTAGGGAGAAGCTATCAAACAATTATTCACGGTAGTCAGTGAAACTGGAATAAAAGCAATGTATGTTATCACTAGCTGAAAAATGTAGATTAAATAAAATTAAGGAAAATTCTTTATAACTGAAAATTGTTACAAAATTGCTGTGGCCAGGGGAAGAAGATACGTGTGCCCACCAAAGTGGGCAAATTTAAGATAAAGATCCTCTTTAGAACAGGTAACTTGAATTTAACTCCTCAATTCAGTAGATAGAATAGGAAAAGAAAATAAATATGATTGCAACAAAAATAAGAATGTAACAGGGTAACCTGTTTCCGTAGCAAGCAGCAATCATAATGAAGGCAGTGAAGATCAAGGAGGCTTGGTGGCGCAACAGCTGCTAACCGAACCAGTGGTGGTTGGGACCCACCTGGAGGCTCTGTGGGAGAAAAGGTCTAGTGATCTGCTCCTGTAAAGATTAAAGCCTAGAAAACCCTATGGGGCTGTTCTACTCTGTCACATGGGGTCAACTATGAGTCAAAAATGACTCAGCTGCACACAACAACAACCTTGAAGCTCAGGCAGTATGCCAGGTTTCTTCCACAACAGTTCTTCTAGAAGGATCTGATGGCAGTATTTCTATGAAGATTGGAGATAGGACTGAATCAATCTTAACTTTCTCAGTAAAATTTTACTAAAACATTATTACCTTAGAAGTCACATGGAAAACCTACAATGTACTGTAAAGAGGTGGAAAGTTACTGGCTCCCAATGTGTTTACAATTACTACCTAAATATGAGGCCTAATTCACAGCATGTTGTGGCCCACATCATTACTTAAAAAACAAAAACAAATAAATAAACAAAAAGAATCCTAACTATTAAGGCAAGAATTAAGGACCAATAGACCAGTGAAATACTGCCAGGCGAGCAGGTCAAATGTACTAGTTTTGTCTATGGAAGATCAGTTCACTTGTTGAAGTTGGCAGTGAAAGGGTCTTCATGATTAGATAC